GGACAAGTGATCTCAAGGAACAGAAGACTCTTATAAGTCAGCAGATACAACACCCAGAGAGAGCCTGCAGAGATACAGAGATTGTCACTGAATGGAGAGACAGAGAACCATCCCGAAGCCAATCCCACAAGGAGGGAGGAGACTCCTCAGAGAGATAGAGTAGGCCAGACTCAGAGACAGGTGACAAAGACAGAGATAGCTCTCTCCCAGTGGGGTTGTCTGTAGAGGAGACCAAGCTATCTCAAAGACTCTGTAACCAGCTGAGTCTGTGGTAAAGACAAGACACCAACTTGGCAGTATGCTAGCAACATCTTACTGAAGGGACATGGGTTGGAGCTTGGGCATCAATTATTTGTTTTTAGTGTTTATATTAAAATGTTTTGAAAGAGGGAAGGTGTGTCATGAAGTCAGAGGGTCAATGTTCCCTGGAGAGATGGTTATTGACGGACACGAATGGAACAGGGAACACCAGAGAGTAATGCTGGGAGGAACTCAGCCACATGGGCAGAGAGTAGTCCACAGGGTCTAATAAAGGTTCACTTGTTCAAATTAATTTGCATTCCTCTTCCCTTGTTGGGAATGAAACAGAGTAGGTGTATGTACATTAGCTTTGATGGAGCTAGGGTGTTAAAAATAGGAGTGTAGCTGTGACAGCGTGGGCTGCAGCTTGGGCTAGCCGCCTGAGTATAATTCCTCCCAGGACCATAGGTACTTTCTTGGGCAACTAGCCCATGCCACCATCCGTGCTGCCACAACTACACTTTTGTTTTTAGTGCACTAGCTCGATCAAAGCTAGCATGGTATGGAGCTGGAAACTACACCTTCTACTTGAAATGTAGCTGTACCCAATAACTGACTCCTGTGTTCCTGATTGACTATGCTGGAGCGTAGAGCAGGAAATCTTATATTGCATTTAAACCTTTAATGCAGTGGTGGGCAACCTGAGGCCTGCAGGCCACATGTGACCCATCAGGGTAATCTGATTGTGGGCCGCGAGACATTTTGCTGATGCTGACCACCTGCAGGCATGGCCTCCTGCAGCTCCCAGTGGCCGCGGTTTGCCACAGGGATGTGCTGGCTGCTGCTTCCCACAGCTCCCATTGCTGGGAATGGCAAACCGCAGCCACTGGGAGCTGTGGGAGGCCGTGCCTGCAGACGGTCAATGTCAACAAAATGTCTCGCGGTCCGCAGTCAGATTACCCTGATGGGCCGCCTGCGGGCCACAGGTTGCCCACCACTGCTTTAATGGATATACCTTTGAGTATACCAAAACTTATATGGAACTTTAAGGACAATGTGATCATACACTGTAAGACTGAAACACTAGAAAAATATCTTGCAATTGTAATTTCGCAATACTGGGCCTTTTGGAGCATGCTGAAGGTGCTAATCCTAAAGCAGGTTTCTTAAAGTGGAGGCCTATGCACGGGAAAGACTGCAACCAGATCTTTAAATTGTTCTCCAGAATCTCGGCTTTCATTTTAAAAAAATTATTTGTAGCTGTTACTTTTGCAAAGAAAACATTCAAAACATAAAATGTAAATAGCCAATGCAGTGGTGTCTGTCTGAGTTTGCAGAGAGCCTGAAACAACAGTTCTGAAATGAATGGCCCCATTAATTCTATACAGATAACAATAATGCTACTCTAAGAGTCAACATTGTTAACTATTTCACGCTTATAAAGCATTTAGGAAAGGAAAGGGTATGATATTATGAAGACCTACATCAGCATTACCCTGACATCATAGAAGATCTATAAAATTAAGAAGGGTAGGCCTTTCCAAAATCATGTTGAGATTGTTGGGGCCATAGCTGATTTCATTTCCTAAAGAGGTGCTCAACTTTCAAATGTTTGGGAATCACTTCCCTAAGAAAACTGCCTTTTTAAAAAAAAATCAAAGTCTTTATTGGAAAATAAACCCAATCCCTTTCTGTAGAAACAACGGGGCTATCGCAGATGAAGCAGTGCCAGAGTTGATTGCTTGTTAAACTTGTCAAAATGTCAAACTTCCTACTATTATTCAAGTACTGGATGAAATGAAGAGCAATAGATGGTCAGCTGTTGCCATGGTGTGCTGTTGTGGTTTTTTTTAGATCAGAGACTGTCTGGTCTTGCTTTTTATAGCAATTTAGGTACCCTAAATTATGTGACAAAACTCATTGCTAACTAGAGATGCCTGTATGATAACTTACACTGAATGTCTTTGGAAGAATTCAGATATCTCTGCTTAATGTGTTGGCAGAATTTTTAAAGGGTATTTTATGTGTTATTACAGAGTCAGATAGGTTTACCAGAGCCTTGAACATATTTTTATTGGGTGGGAACTAAATAATGCAATCACATGTTTTGTACATTACACAGTACCAGTGTGTGCTTTGTACCAACAGACAAGTCAACAGGGAAAGGGTGTTGTTAGTGATTTAATATCAACATGTTGGAATTTAGATTCCTTATTAAACTGTGAGATATTAAGAGTGTAGGAAAGTTTTAAAGATTTTCTGACTCAGACCTGATTTTTGTCTTTAGAAATACCTTGTTAAATATTCCCATTTGCTTTAATCAGAGTCTTGGCTGTTTCAATTATTATTATGATGTCAGGAATCTTAAGTGTTTTCACTGAATGACTTTGCAAAGCTCAATTAAATAAGTAAAAATGCAGTAAAAATGCAATTTCTTGTCAGTGCTAGTTTTCGTGAATTTTAAATAATACACTGGCAGGGCTGCCCTTAGTATTTTTTTCCAAAATTGAGGAACTTTTTGTCACCCACCACCTCCCCGCAAAGTCTCTTCCTTCCCCTGGCCCTGACTCTTGCCTGTCATTCTCATATCACTCTGCCTTATATTGTTCAATCACATCAATCTCAAATAGTATAAATAGTATAAATAAATAGGGTAACCATATGTCACTGTTTTCAGGGAATTTCTTTGTCATTCTTACAGACAACTGTTTTGTCCTGGTTTTTGTAAGCTCTAGCAGACTGGACACCTGAAGTAACTGCAGGCCTGCTGATGAGCTCCAGAGGGTATGTCTACACAGCTATTGGGAGTTAGTCTTCCAGCCTGGATGGACAGACTTGTGCTACAGCACTGAAAATAGCAATGTGGGCATTCCGGCTTGGGCTGGAGCTCGGACTCTGAAGCCTAAGGAGTGGGGTGAGTTTCAGAGCTTGAGCTCCAGCCCGAGTCCAAATGTCTAACCAACAGCTACCCAGCTATTTTTAGCGCGCTAACCCGAGCCCCGCTAGTGCAAGTCTGTCGACATGAGCTGCGAGACACGCTCCCAACAACTGTGTAGGCATACCCTTGGGGGCCATCCCAGAGAATGTTCTAATATAATGTTCATAGAATCATAGATGATGATTAGGGTTGGAAGAGACCTCAGGAGGTCATCTAGTCCAACCCTCTGCTCAAAGCAGGACCAACCCCAACTAAATCATCCCAGCCAGGGCTTTGTCAAGCCGGGCCTTAAAAACCTCTAAGGATGGAGATTCCACCACCTCCCTCGGTAACCCATTCCTGTGTTTCACCACCCTCTTAGTGAAAAAGTTTTTCCTAATATCCAACCTAGACCTTCCCCACTGAAACTTGAGACCATTACTCCTTGTTCTGTCATCTGCCACCACTGAGAACAGCCTAGCACCATCCTCTTTGGAACCCCCCTTCAGGTAGTTGAAGGCGGCTATCAAATTGCCCCTCACTCTTCTCTTCTGCAGACTAAATAACCCCAGTTCCCTCAGCCTCTCCTCATAAGTCATGTGCCCCAGACCCCTAATCATTTTTGTTGCCCTCTGCTGGACTCTCTCCAATTTGTCCACATCCTTTCTGTAGTAGGGGGCCCAAAACTGGACACAATACTCCAGATGTGGCCTCACCAGTGCTGAATAGAGGAGAATAATCACTTCCCTCGATCTGCTGGCAGCGCTCCTACTAACGCAGCCCAATATGCCGTTAGTTAGTTGGCAAGAAGGGCACACTGCTGACTCATACCCAGCTTCTCATCCACTGTACTCCCCAGGTCCTTTTCTGCAGAACTGCCACTTAGCCAGTTGGTCCCTAGCCTTAGCAGTGCAATCCATCCCATCATCCAGATCATTAATGAATATGTTGAAGAACAAAAATGTTGCCACCAGACCTCTAATAAAGTCCTCCAGCAAACATCCTCTCCAAATATAGGCCCTGATTCACTACTTGCTTACATCAGTGTAAAACCGGTATAAGCGAGTGATGGATCAGGTACACAGAGCGGAAGGGATCAAGGGCAAGACAAAGGACTGAGAGAGTGTATGAATGTGATAGAGAGAATGAGGAAAGGCTATAAAGGTGAGAGCTGGAGAGGGAAGAGGAAAGAAAGTGAAGGCTGAAGCAAAGGGAAAAGGAGAGGAGAAAGGGGAAGAAAAACAAGCCAAAATCTTAAAACATAGAACATGTACAGAAGGGAATGGTAGTTTTTCTCTCTTCTCCAGCATCCAAATCCTCCTGCACAAACTACCCTGACCCGGCCACACTTACTAATAAAATATCCTGTGAATCCTAATATCCTGTGAATCCTGTGAACCCTTCTCCTTTTGGACAAGCATCTTATTTTCTACACTCTACAGCTGGTTGCTCTAGAAAGCTAGCTTCGTTTTAAATAAATTATGTCTCAAATTATTAAACAATTTGAAGTATTGCAGCAGCCCAATATTTTGGATTTGATTTTTTTTGTTTGTGTGAATTCATGTATCAGACTGTTGTATTAAGATTTGGACAGTTCACATTCTGCTGATATCATTGACTATGAGAGGCTTTCATGACTCCTTGAAGACCTCAAGTATTTCTTGATCAGGTTCTGATTTGTAGTGAGTATTTATTAAGATGCTTTTAAGTTTTGAAATCTAGCTATTAATACTACAACCTGCTAAAACTCTCCAAGAGACAGAATGTTTCACATTTCTAACTGTCTTTGTGGCTAATTCTTAATCTCACCACAGTGTTGTTCTTTAATGTTTTTTTCTTTTAGATCCCAAAGGAGGATACATCCCTGAATAAAATGTCGACTTTCACCATAGGAAAATCATCCCCTAATCAAAGTGGTATGTTGATGCTGTTACTTTCAGGGTATTTAAAGCATAGGGGGAAACAACAAGCTCTTTTCATTGAATGTGTGCAGTATGTGAACCTAATCCAGGTGCCATTGTGCCCTCCATACAGGGGCGAAAGTAATTTAAAGGACTTACCGGTACGCTGGAGTCCTGAGCAGGGGGTGGGGCCTAAACGGAAGGGGTGTGGCCTCAACCTTTAAATCGCCGTCGGAGCCGTGCTGCCGGAGCCCTGGGGTAGTGGCGGTGGGGCTCCAGCAGCAATTTAAAGGGCCTGGGGCGGTAGTGGTGGCCAGAGCCCCGGGCCCTTTAAATTGCCACCTGAGCCCTGCTGCCAGAGCCCTGGGGTAGTGGCGGCGGGGCTCTGGCGGTGATTTAAAGGGCCAGGGGCTCCCAGCCGCTGCTGCTGCAGTGGAGCCCCAGGCCCTTTAAATTGCTGCTTGGAGAAGCCGGCCTGGTACGGTGTACCGGCTTACTTTCACCTCTGCCTCCATATTCTTGTTTCAACAGTTTCAAATCAGACTGCATGCTGCCCACCCTGGAACAATGGCGGACTAGTTATTTGATTAGGCAATGCATGTAAGGACCGGTTTGGGAGGCAGAGGCAGCAGTGCTGCCTGATCCTTATCAGCATTTTCATTCTGCCTGAAGCACTGGGAATGCCAGCACCACACAAGGGAGGAGTGGGGGAGGGAAACAGCGAGGCTAGAGCATGGCTTCTGCTCGCATTAGTGCCTGTGGTTAGCCTGGAGACCAAGAAGCAGTATAGTGGGGGACATGGCCAGCAGCTGTTGAGGGAAGCAGAGAGAACAGGCAGCATGAGCAGAGCAGGCTAAGGCTTTGCAGAGAGAGAAAGGAAGGGGCGGGCTTATTCCCTGTAACATTGTCCTCTCCCCAATACACCCTGTAATTTGAGATTGTTGGAGAGGGAGAGACTGGGGAAAGAGGACTTGGGAAGACAGGACACAGGGAAAGAAAATGTAACTGATTGGTGGTTATCAGGCAAGATTTTTGTTACTGTCAACCCTGTCTGTAACAATGCCTTAGAAAGGAGAAATATGGATGGTGATTATGAAAAGACTGATGGCAGAAGGTTGGGAGTTTGGGTTCTGCTTGGATAAATGTCCAGGTGTTTATTAGAAGCCTAATGACACCTATTCATCTGCATTTGACACAAGTGTGTTAAAAATCTTAAAAGATTTCAAGCCTTTCAGGTTCTGGTTTTGGCTGGACACCAAGAGTCCTCTCCTACGAAAATGAAAGTCAGTTACAATTTTACCACTGACTACATTGAAAGCAGGATCAGGACCCAGCTATGGAAAGACTCATAGCTGAACATTAGAGAACCTCAGAAAAGGCTTCGTTCAAAACCAGCTCCAAAACAAGAAAAGGCTAAACGGGCTTCTTACTTCACCTGATCTATTAAAATTAGGACTGTCAAACGGTTAAAAAAATTAATCACGATTAATCGTGAGATAAAAAAAATTAATGATTAATCACAGTTTTAATCAAACTGGTAAACAGTAATAGAATACCATTCATTTAAATATTTTGTATGTTTTTCTACATTTTCAAGTATAATTATTTCAGTTACAGTACAGAATACAAAGTGTACAGTGCTCACTTTATATTATTATTTTTATTACAAATATTTGCACTGTAAAAAAGATAAAGAAAAGAAATAGTGTTTTTCACTTCACCTCTTAAAAGTACGGTAGTGCAATCTCTTTATCGTGAAAGTGTAATTTACAAATGTAGGTTGTTTTTGTTACATAACTGCACTCAAAAACAAAACAATGTAACAATGTACACTTTGTATTCTGTGTTGTAATTGAAATCAACATATTGGAAAGTGTAGAAAAACATCCAAAACTATTTATAACAAATTTCAATTGGCATTCTATTACTGTTCAAAAGTGCACTTAAAACTGCAATTAATCACGATTAATTTTTTTAATCAAGTTAATTTGCTTTGGGTTAATCGCTTGAGTTAACTGCGATCAATTGACAACCCTAATTAAAATGTTTTACTTGGTTTTAAGCAAATATATTTATATTGCCATTTTTAATGACAGTAATATGAGGCTTTGTTAGTTGTTTCATTGCCACAGAGCAGCCATAGCAAGGAACCTCATTACACAAAGGAGAATGTCTCAAGCAGGAATTCTTATGGAGCAAAGCCACCGTTACATCCTTGAAATGGCCGCATGTGCTCGGCGCCATGTAAAGCTTACAGCTCAGTTTTGCCTATGCATTAAAGGTTGCTCCTTGTTTCCCTCTCCTCCCTTTTGTACTTGTTCAAGGACTAAGGACAAGCTGCAGCAAAATATATATACATTAAATCTGTATAAGCACATTAATATATTTCATCCTTGACTTAATCAGTACAGATACTGTTTGATGCAGATAGGGCCACACATAAAGTAGAAACGCACATTAACAGTAAACTCTTTGAACTACAGTATTACAAGCAAACATTAAATGCATATTGTTTAGCTGCTGCCTATAGATGGGGCTTCATTTCAAGTTAATTGGATTATTTAAATTAAGAATTATGATTATGATTAAAAAATCCAAAATGGACTTTTGGAGTGATTTCACTTTCATGATATGCCACTGGGGAGAAATGAATATTCCACACACTAGGCTTGATGTACTCTTGGGTATATATTGATGTGCATCTTGAAAACACCACATCTATGCTTGTGCTTATGCATAATAGCAGATTTTTAGAGACGTGTGAGAATGTAACTGACTTTAGAGCAGAGCCTTAAATGTGTTGGAAAGGGTTTGCAGGAGTTCTTTGCTTAAGAAGATGTTATCAATATGAAGGGAGTGCTGGGAAGATTTCCTTGCTTCCGATGGAGTTCTTCCTTTTGGATACTGCTAAACCATTCTTGCTGAAGATGGCTTTTATGCTTGGGGCTCATAAAAGTAATTTTGAAGAGCAAACATTTTGCACAAGATGTAAGGTATTAAACAAAATTACTCAGGGGGAGCGTACAGTTCCCTTTACAAAGTCTTCAAACCTCCATCCTCATTTGTCAAATGTCGGAAGTTCTATTTGTTATTTTTATTCCGTGTCCATTACTATACTATTGAATACTGTGATATATTATCAATACACTGAGCAAAGTATACATTTTATAGCAAGTGCATTTAATATAGGTTTGTTTGCTAATTGGTGCTCTCTCCATCTTTGACTGTAACTACGAGAAAAAAAAATGTTTAAATGGAAAGAGAAATAAATACTTTCCCCACTCCTTCACCCCTCCACTCTGCAAGAATTAAGGTGTAGATTTTAACAGTGAGGGTAGTTAACCATTCGAACAACTTATGTAGGAATGCACTGCATTCTCTATCACTTGAAGTTTTTAAATGAAAAGTGGCCATCTTACTAAAAGATATGCTATAGCTCAAACAGAAGTTATGGGCTTGCTGCAGAAATTATTGGGCGAGGTTCTTTGGCTTGGGTTAGGAGGCAGTCAGACTAGATGATTATAATGACTCCTTCTGGCCTTAAAAATCTATGTGCGCATGTGCCTGGTACAAAGGATATATTACAGCTTAAGAGAAGGAGAAATTAGGGAGACATTTTTGGAAGCTCATATTAAAATATTGGTAACATCACTGGTCCAGTGACAAAAATCTGTACTTGGACTGCATGTGAACATCCCAGTCGTCCCACAGGGAACCACAGAAAATGGTAGAGGACACGTTATGGCTTGCAGTCTTTTACTGATTTTAAATGTAATACAGAATTCCATCTTTGTACTCTGACATTGTTTTTTTACGAAAGAAAATATTTCTGAAGAATGTACTCTAGGCACTCTCCCTTAAAACAAACTATCAGCCCCTTTGCTGTGTTTCCCTTCCTCTATCTGGCCTATGTATTTGTGGTTCTTCATACTTGTCACTACACGTGAATTTCATGGATAAAAGGAACTTGGTTTCCTCTTTTCATAAGTCAAAATACAAGTGTGACAAATGAACACAATACTGACTGTGTATACTCTGTTTGTGAAGTGATATGTTTTTCCAAACACGAAGAGCATAACCATATACTTTCTATCTGAATGACATTTAGTTCTATCTGCTCAAATCCATTTTGAGTGAAGCAAGGAGTTTTGAAGTTTTTTTCTGTGGTGCTCAGAGAGTAGGCACATTATAGAGATAATCCAATAGGCTTCCCAAAAGAAAGGGTGCTGAACCCATTGTTTCTTAGCACTCCAATTTATTGAGTAAGTGGGTGTCCTTAATGAGGGTCTCATATGTAAATGTCATATGTCTAATTTGTCACCTCCAACTTGGCTTCAAAAGGAGTTTCCATGTGTCATGACTGCAGGATTGAACCTCCACTGCAGCTGAACACACAATTAAAGGAAAGGTGCAGTAATGTTAGAAAACAAAGTGATGGTAGGGAGCTCAGATGGGGAGAAAAGGGTATAGCCGTAATAGGCTTAAGAATGAACGGGGAGGCTTTGCCCGTGGGGCCAAACTACCACTAAAAGCACAGTTATTCACCAGCTGTCTAGTGCACTGAGAATATGTTCTCATGGATCATGTGAAATAATATTCTTCAGTGTACCAGGCATTAAGACTGTTTGTTAAGGTTATTTTGCATGTTTGCAACACATTCCTGGACATTTTCTAATTCACTCATCAAATCAACTCTCCTTGTGTTCGTTCAAAAGTAAATCAAGCTGTTGATATTTAAGCTGAAATTGTGAATTCAAACTGGTAAAGTGGGATTCAGGGACTTCTACACGGGTTGCTGCACTGCAGGTTATTTATCGGTAAAACACGGGACTCTTAGGAAGGTAACTTCTAACACCCAGATGACCCTGCTGAATGATCGCAGGTGTGGCTTAACAGACTGATATTACAGAAGTCTTGATCTTGGGTGTAATATCTAAAGATTCAGTTTGTGCCATAAATATATCTAGGTAGGTATATTGCAAACTTTCTCAGAAAAACAAGGATTTCTAATGCTACTCTAAGTTTTAGACCTTTATCGCATATTATTTTCAAAAGCTGTGTTTCTGCATTGATAGATACAAAGAGTCCCACTCTTACAGGGAAAAACAGACAACAGGTTGTTCATGATGACAACAGCAAGCGAAGGACCCTGTTGCAGGATAGCAGCTGGATAAAGAAAAGACCTGAGGAGGAGAGGTAAGGAAAGAATTGATTTCAGTTCAGGCAGTAAAGATCATATGCAGCATATTTTGCCTGACTGCAGGTTAACATACTCTTCCGTTTTTTTTTAAATTTGTTCTATTATCTAATTTTTTGCAAGAGTAATGCTTTAGCAAGTGGGTTGGCATTTATTTCACTGTAAGATCTCTATTGGCCCAACCCTGAGGTGCTGCTGAACGCCTCCTGCAAGCTGTGAACATCCTTAACGTCCGCTGTTACCTCAGTGGGAGCTTGGGGTGCACAGTATCTTGCCAGATGTGCTCAGCACCTCACAGGATGGGCTCAAGATGACATTCCCTTATGCTTTGATTACTGGAATACCTAATTTTTCATGTCTGGAAAAATGCCAATCATTTAATGTTGACACATTCATTTAAGGAACTTAATTGCGTCAGGACCAATACTTTAACCTATTATGGTGCCCTATTATTATGATTGGTGATACAATAATGCCTAGAAACCCCAACTAAGTTCAGGCATCCATTGTGCTAAGCACCATACAAATACATAGTAAGAGATAGTCCTTGTTCCAAAGAGCTTACAGACAAGAGCTGCTGTCAGTGGAGTTCAAATGGTTTAAAACTGGTGTTAGATCTGAGTCAAGACATAAATTTTTGTCAAGAAATTGGTCTTTGTTTAAATAATTTGATTTTCACCAAAGATCTGACTTTTTTTTAATTGCAGTACTAATGAAAACTATGGCAGAGTTGTGCTTAACCAATACAAATCTCAAGATAGCTTAAACAGGTACAGTAAGCAGTATGTCTTTACGTCTGTCAAATGGTGTTGCCACAGATAAAGGAAAATACACACACTAAAGTCCTGTTTATGCAAAGAACCTGTTTTGTTCAATTTGACCCTGCTCTTTCTCCCATTATCATTAATTACTTACCTCCTATCGACTTCAATGGGAACAGGATCTGGCCTTTAACTCTGAATATATTGGAGTACTGCATAATGTCGTAAATCAATATTTGCATATTGTTTTCATTTTAATCAAATGAATAAAAATGTATATATGCTTATTTAGAATAAAATGTCATTTTTGCAAACAAATGCAAACTTTAAAAATAGTCTGTTTTTAATTACGTCTAACTAATTTTTCTTTATACCAGTAACTTGAATGAAAAGGAAGATCAGAAAGTTTTCCTTGGCCGATACAGATCTGATACTATTTTAAACAGGTAGCATATTCTTATATACAGTATTTTGTCATTGTCATGCAAGTGGTGTTTTGTATCTGTTTTGTCTGCAAAAGGAAAAGTATTAACAAGTAAAATGACGTAAGTGGCATATTAACTTTTGCATTTATACCACGGTAGTCTGATTTATTTATTTTTTAAAAATACTGTACATGTATTTTTCTCTCCAAGATCTTTTGTCTTGAGGAGGCATACGCGCTGACTTCCTCTGTTCCTGGGGGGCACTCAACCTCTGCTCCGCCCCAGCCTCCACCCCGACTCCACCTCTTCCCTCAAGCCCCACCCCTGCCTCACCTCTTCCCGCCCCCGCTCTTCCCCAGGCCCCACACTTGCTCTGCCCTGGGTCCTGCCCCCACTCCACCCCTCCCCCAAGCCCTCACCCCTGCCCCACCTCTTCCCGCCTCCACTCCGCCCCTGCCCTGCCTCTTTCCACTCCGTCCCCCATCTCTTCCTGCCCTGCTCCTCCCCTTCCCTCCTAGCACCTCCTGCATGCTGCTGAACAGCTGATTTGTGGCATATGGGAGGCGTGGGGGGAGGGGGGAGGGAGGCGCTGATCAGCGGGACTGCCAGTGGGTGCTGAGCACCTTCTATATTTTTTCCATGCGTGCTCCAGCCCCAGAGCACCCATGGAATCAGCGCCTTTGTGAGGAGGGATATATTGGTTGCATAGTTCTGTGTCCAGAAAGCATTCAGGTAGCAGAATGGTGTACCAGTTTGCACATGAGCTTATGTTGATGCTTAGACTTGTATGCACGTTCAAAAGGGAGTTCCTATTTTTATTATTCTGTGTCTGTGGCACTGAATAGGTTCTCCTATAAAAAGTAGTATTGTAAATGGAATTCCTTCAGATTTACTCTCATGTAAGTGAGTGGTGAATTGGGTCGTCTATGTATAATATAAATATATACAACATTTCTGCCAGCAAATACAGTCTCTGTCATGTATGTGGCCAGCCTCAAAACGTTCACATTGAGGAAGCCTCACCCAAGTTTCTCATTTCTTCCAAGTCCCTACACTTCCCTCCTACAATGGATCATAAACCCCTACTTTATTTATGAAAAGTGTAGGGGAAGGGGATGTGTCTTATTCTACCCAGATTTTTTCTCCCTTCTTACTGAGAGCTAATTAGATATGTGGGGAAGAGGTGGAAGACATGCCTTAAAATCAGCTAGTCATCATGATGATCTTTATGCTTTTATTTCTTTGTACAAAATATTACTGACTCCAAAACTGATGCAGTGAAGAATAAACACTAACAATTGCCTTCTATGATATCTGAGCCTTGAAAAAGGCGACTGAAGTAAATAAAAAGAACACTCACGCCAACCTCAGTCTTCCACTCCATTGTTGGCATGAGAGGCTGAGGTGCTGGGACAGTAACACTAGGGAAATTAAAGATGTAGAATTGGATTTTTCTGCAATGTCCTCAATAAAAAGCAGAATGAAGGACAAGTGTGTAAGTCTCATAGTGAATAACCGCTGGTTGAGAATTATCAGTACTTTAAGAAATTTTCATCCCTGTGGCCCCTGTAATGTGAGCAAGCTTAGTGAGACCTCTAGTGGTCTGCTGAATAACTGCTGGCTACAGTCACAAACTGTCTGGGGCATGAGCAACTTGAACTACTTACATATCTAATTTTAAGAATTCAAAAAAAAAAAAAATCTAGAAAACACATTGCACAAACTGGGCCCTGGAATGGCTATGCAAGAATTTCCATTGAAAGCAATCGGTGCCCCACGTGCGTATCTGAAGGCAGAATATGTAATTCTTTGTTTCAGTCAGTGACATCTGATTAGTGGTCCTATGGCTAATTATTGTTCTGTGTCTATTGCACTGGATAGGCACCCTTTTATAAAAAAAAATACTGGAATTATTCTCATTTTTGTATTTAAATAAATGGGTCTTGACTGACAACCATTTTTCAGAGACAAGTGGGTGAGATAATATCTTTTATTGCAGAGATTCTCACCAGGGGTCCAAGGCCTCCTGAGGGCCCACGAGCAGGATTCAGGGAGGCCACCAACCAGGGCCAGCATGAGACTTGCTGGGGCCCAGGGCAGAAAGCCAAAGCCTTGCCATATGGGGCTGAAGCCCGGGCCCTAAGCTCCCCCACCCGAGCTTGAAGCAGAGCAATGTAGTTCTGTGGGGACTCCTGTGACATAAGGCCCCAAGCAATTGCCCTGCTTGCTACCCTGTAATGCCGGCCCTGGCTTTTAGATGCAGAAAACCAGTTATTGTGACACAGGTGGGCCATGGCGTTTTTAATAATATGTTGGGGCGGGCTTCAGAAAGGAAAAGGTTGAGAACCCTTGTTTTATTGGACCAACTTCTGTGGGTGAAAGAAAGAAGCTTTTGTGTGCCACATAGCTCTTCTTCAGGTATTTTTTTTTTTCTTCAGAGCTCTTCAAATGCTTTCAGTTATTTAAGCACATTCAATATAAACAACCCCAACTTAGTAGTCATAATCAACCTTAAAGTATATATTGTACACTTGATCTTTGTGCAGAACTCCTATTGATACCAATGGGAGTTCCACACATGGAACGAGGATAGAACTGGGTAAGTGTTACCAGTTCTGCTAGAATATTTGTGATACTCAGACTTTAATGAAAGATAAAAATGCTATCTTATCCTAATAGTGAATTCACTAACAGTTTGGAAAAGTTTTAGGCAATGACTATAGAATTAATAAAAGGCATGAAAGGTCATGTGCTTGATCCTTAATGCAAATCTAATGGCTGAATAAAATCAATATTAAGTACAAATAATCTAACCCAGTGGTTTCCAAACTTGTTCCGCCGCTTGTGCAGGGAAAGCCCCTGGTGGGCTGGGCTGGTTTGTTTACCTGCTGCTTCCGCAGGTTCGGCTGATCGCGGCTCCCAGTGGCCGTGGTTCGCTGCTCCAGGCCAATGGGAGTTGCTGGAAGCGGCGCGGGCCGAGGGATGTACTGGTCGCCACTTCCAGCAGCTCCCATTGGCCTGGAGCAGTGAACAGCGGCCAGTGGGAGCTGCGATCGGCTGAACCTGAGGACCTGTCTGGTAAACAAACTGGCCCAGCCCGCCAGGGGCTTTCCCCCCACAAGCGGTGGAACAAGTTTGGGAACCACTGATCTAACCTTTTTGGCTGATGTTACCCCTGAAGGTCTCACGTCTGTTCCATCACTGATTCTGTACTAGAGTTTCTTCAAATCACATTGATCTCTAAAAGCCATCATGAAAGAATATTGTACCTCTCATGGGACACTGGAAGAGGGGTTTGATTTTAAATATACAGTACTGCCTCATCAAAAGACTTTTTAACAGTTTGATCTTAATAGTAGTCACAGCCACTTTAAAGGAAAAATTCTAATCATTTCATTTTAATGACGACTGTGGTAGTTACAGAATATTTAACCATTCAGAATTTGGACACAGTTTATAACCTTTTTTTCAGACACATGTATGCATTGAAATTATATTGGTTCAGTTACTATTCTTACTCATCAACGTTTGATGTACTGGCTGTCATAAGCTATGCAGCCTCACCAGGTAATAGTTGATGTTGCCATTTTATTCTTAGTGTATTTTTAAAGACTTGATTCTAATCTAAAGTTTTATGAAAATGTATTTTGTTCTGTATTTCTGTACAGAATTTCAGACACAAGAGATGCTGATAAAGCAAATAATTCCCCACGCTCAGAAAATAGGACAACTGACAGGTAAGAGTCTGAGACCTGCTAACCCTTAAAAAGATCCTTATACATTCTTATTACTTTTATTTTATTAGTGATGCATATATCAAGGATGAATAAAGAACATAAACAATGGTGTGTGAAGTGACAAAGATTTCAGAGTTGGGCAGAATTTTTTTTTAATTTAGGTGAAAAACTTTTTCATCAAACTTTTCAGCAGAAAACTTTGACTTTGTTGAACAAATGAAAACTGAAAAACTGAAAGCATTTTTGGTAGCTGAAAACTAAAAAAAAAATAAAAAAAATGGGTTGGAGGTTTTTGGTTTTTCAGAGAAAAATATCGAAAAGTTTTGAGGAAACCAGACACTTTCTGTGAAAATTTTCATTTTGTCAAACCCAATTTTCCATTCTCAAAAAGTTTTGACCTGTTCTAGGTTTTTTTTGAGTCAGGGATGACCACATTAAATATATACTGGGATGACTGAACAACACTGTAAACATACCTTCTAAATTACTGTTGGCACATGAGTAATTTAATTCTCCATTTAAGAAGATAAAGGTCATAAAAGCTCAGCTATTATATTTATAAATGCAATTGGTCAAATTCCCTGCTGGTCCAACTTCATCGAAGTCAGTTATATCAGTGCTAAATTATGTCCAATATAGTAGGTTATGATAACCAAACAGTACACGTAAGTGTAACCCTGGGAAGTGGTGAGATAACTCTAAAGTGAAACTGAGTGACTATGACACGTACAAGTGAGACTATGCTTTCGTATTAAGATTTCTCACAACTTTGTTGTAAATCAGTATGGTAATGATATGTGAAATATTATATAAACTGGGTTTTACGTTGTGGCTGAAGATAATTCTGAATATGCCTAGAGGGAAATTCAAAAGAGGACTCATGTGGAACTTAAATGGTACATAGGATTTGCACTAGCCCTCTACTCATGTTCCCCTGATGAATGTTCATAACAAGAATTGTGATAGATTCCATACTATATTTATCCTCACTAGTTCAAAAGTTGAGACAGTAGGACAATAGGACTTATGAAATGCAAAACTCTTATGAGGAAATCGCTATAGGGTAGAATGTCAAATAATCTTGTAGGCATGTACTTAAATATACAGCATGCATCATCCATCATGGCAACTCCCAAAGGGATGTAGTCTCCTTGTAAATCATGCGCCACCCAGATTGATCTCTAGTTCTTAAGATGGTTCTGGCTGGATATTCAGTCCATGGCCATCATTGATGATCTTATTACAACTCCAAAGCTTTTGGTGACTACGTGATTGCTGACTCTAAAGCGGCATTCCTCAGTAAATGTTGAACTTTGTTGAACTTCCATTCTAATAATAAGACTGTACTAAGAAAGCAGCTGAAACCAAACCAGTGCTGATGGAGGTGGTTGCTGGCTTTGGTTACAGATGAAGATGAAGGGAATCGAGAATGTACAGCATTGCCACAATAATAGTATCTGATTAAGAAACATACAATTCAAAATGTGAAAACAAGAGATTTTTTAAATGTTTTGGTGGCTATAAAATGTAGTGTGGTGACATGGATGGATATAATGGTCAAGATTTTTACAAGTGGCTAATGATTTTGGGTGCCCAATTTGAGACACTTTAAAGTACTCTGATTTTTCAGAATACCCTCTGAATATAAGGACCCTTCAAGGTATCTTAAATTGGGCATCCAAAACTGAGGCTCCTGAAATCACTAATCACTTTTGAAAATCTTAGCCAACATATGTAACTATAATTGTACCAATTACTGTTTATAATTCCATCCATTAAAGAGTGCTGTGATAGTAAAGATCTCATTCCTTAGTTTATCAATTAAAATCATAACTTCACTGAAGAACAATGAGCAAACTAAGTCTCTTTCATTAACAGACAGTCCTGGACTCCTTCTAATACATCAGCCACCACCTCTACATCTCCTGTGAAGCACAAAAGGTATTCAAGGTCACCTTTGTTTTGCTCTCCGAGGATATATACAGTACAGTTGTGCATCAGTAATGTGTTAAGATATATTGGAACAATGACTTCCTCTAACAAGTTTGGAATTCTTTTAAAAAGAATTCTGCTCCTGAAAATTATCATTATCTGGCTATTCCCCACTGGACCACTGTGAGGGCCGGGACATTCTTTTTACTGCCTATTTGGGTGGGGTCTACCACTGATTCTTGATTAGAGCCGCTACACACTACTGCACTACCAATGAACAATAATAGTACTGTCTTCTATAATGGATAAAAATGAGAGTTAGAAACTTGTTTGATTTCAATGGCATTAGCTGGGAGATGGAGAGAATTGGCTATGGAATAGAGAACAGAGTTGCCACCTGTAAGGTTCAGAACACCAGGACACGCAGTTGGATCCTGAGTCGATAAAACTGGACAACTGGCAGTGTGTACTGAGTACCCTTACAGATTTCCCAGGAAAGTTACCTCAGAAAAGGGAGATTCTGGGAAAACCTGCCCAGGTGGCACCCCAAGCAGAGAACTGAATTATTAACTAAAAATAGGCTGCTGGTGGATACCCATTTTCTCGTGCGTTTCCTTCCTGGCAGCACCTCCCAAATTCCGTCCCTTCTGGCTTTGCTCCAGTTCCATCTCCATTCCATATATTAATATGATCAGCAATTAAATTGTTGACATTGAAATTAAAGTATTGTTGTGTGCTAGCATTAACATCCCTAATGAGATTAATGGAGGTCAGACAGTTTACTCCCCTCAGTCATTTTCCTTAGGCTGTCTGCAGACTTGGGAAGACACCACTGCATGAATTATACTTGGTTCACATTTGGAAGGATTTTCTTCACAGCAATGATGGCTACAAACTTACTTTTGTTCAAATGAAAATTTAGATTCTGCAGAATCTGAATGTGTTATGGAGGCCACGTAAATACATCAAGCTGTCCAGATCTGTCAGCTGGGCTTGGGTGTTTCACCCATCCGGTTGTCCCTCATGAGACCTGTTTTATTGGCACAAGGGGCTAAATTCTTATTTCACTTGACTTGCATCAAAGAAGACCTTGGACCAGAGATTGTATTTTGTACATTGGTGGCACCATTATAATTAAAGGTTTCGCTTTATGTCCACTTGCATTAAATTTCCATAAAAATGCTCTAACAGAGTGAACAGAATGGTATGTCAAGATGGTGGTTGCTATGAAGGCACTGGAAAATAAGTTTAAGAGAAGAAAAATAATTTAGGAAATGTTATAAGCATTTTCTATGTTACCTCTGATATTCTAATATTCTCCTTTCCAAATATTGTAGGGATAAATAGAATTAAATTGCTGTTCATCCACTAAACGCTACGTGCTCATACTCTATAATTGAATTATTCATTAATACTTAACAGGCAGTCTTGGATGCCACCACCAGTCTCCGGTTATAAGAACACCACAGTTACTGTGGAAAACAAAGGGTAAGAACTAAAAATTGCATTTAGGTGTTTATTATTATTATTATACCTGATCCTGCAAGGTGCTGAGGACCCTTAATTTCCACTGAATCAGCTCTCAGTAACAGATGTTTAGGATATTCAGAAAAACTTGTGCTAAAATTAGCTGCAGTTATGTAAGAAGTGAATGTTTAGTTTTTAACGCTACAGCTGCATCTGCTTTCTATCTGATGAATAATGAAACTGCTCACATCTCAATGTTAAATATGGATGAATTATTGAAAATGTGTATATATGCACACATAAGATGTGGGCGTTATCTTTATTATTCATACTAGTGAAAAATTGCTTTGTGATCTCAGTGTTTCTAAGTGAAATTGTATTTACAGAAGCAAAATTATATTAATGGAACTTAGTTGGACTACTCACATGTATAAATTTAAGCAGGTGCATACATATTTGCAGGATTGGGGCCTAAATGGCAGTTCTGCTCTCAGCTATGTGTGTAAAATTCTCCCTGAAGTGTGTGTAGCTGTAGAAGTGGTGGGGAATTTGGCCCAGAATGTTTGTTTTGAAAAAGAAATACAATTTAAAAAAGTTATGAGAGGAAAAACACAAACAAGCAAAAAGACTACAATGAATTTCAACAGTGTTGGAGAATTATTACATTGCGATACTGCGGGTAGTCTAGTAAAGATTATATTTCCCTCTCTCTTCTTCCCCAGTGAAATAAGGACGGGGTGGATGTACTAGTCAGGAGTATATTGGTGGCTTTCACTCACTCCATTTTCTGAAGCATCATAAGGACTGATTTATTGAAAGCTTAGAGTTGTTCAAGAGAGAAGGTTTCACAGTCTCTTAATTTTTGGGCCCTGGTCTTTTTCTTCACAGCTTCCACCTGTGGGTGACTAATGACAGATTACACTACCTCCTCTGAAGCTGTAGTGAGCTAGCCACTAATTCACTTGTGATGCCTGCGGGCCCCACTGAGGCCTAAAAACATTACCTCTTAGTGACACAGAGCATGATTTTTGTTGCAGGGAAGTGAATGAGGAAGGATAGTATGGTGGTTAGAAATGTGTACATAAGCTTTATTTGTAGATATCTGTTTATATGTTATAGGCGGTGCTTTCCGACACTTTCCACTATAAGACTCTGTTTTCAGTTTGCAAACTTTTAACCGTCTGGGCTGAAACTTCCTATGTCAGGTGTCTGCCTCAGACTGCAGAATTAAAACAAACAAAAAATTAGGGGGAAAATGTTGCTTAGCTCATGTAAAAAATTCCTACAGATGTTTTGCTGAGACGTTCTCGCAAGTCTATGCTTTGGAGCAAGGCATTGAAATTTGATAGGGGGTTGCCCTATGTCAGGGATAAACCTTTTTCCTATGAAAATCCACCCAAACTTGGCCAAGTTGTATGCAAACGTGAAAGCTTATATGAACACATGGGCCCATTGTTGACCTGCTTATAATTGTTTAAATATATTCTTGCATATATTGAGCAAGTGCACTTTTCTCAGTAAAAAGAAAAACTTTGCACATACAAATTATGCATAAAAAGTATGTATATAAAATGTGGAGTTTTATATGCATAAGGCTGAATAAATCTTCAAACTGTCAAAAAATTTATACCTACATAACTTGAAATGTGATATCTGATTTACCCAAAAATTTATTAAAACAAAAAGCCACAAACAAACAAAGAAACAAACAGTCAAAGAAACAAACAAACAAACCCACTAACTCTCTTATGGTAGGATGCAATACGGACAAATTTCAACTGCTTTTGTTTTGTTTTTACTAAGTTGTTGGGAGTTGTGGGGGTGGAAGTCTGAAAACTGGCCTTTCATTGGAATGCTCTTTCCAATTTTACTGTGGAGTGGCTATGCATATTTCTGTAATAACAAATGAATGTATAGCTTTTTGTGAAGGAGCACAGTAATTTCACCATTCTCAGTATTCTATTGCACCTCTCGAACCTCTTTCTAAATGGTAAATTAGCAAATAAATTTTCTTCTTAAAGAAAAATGCTTAGATTCCTTTCATTGCATATTTTACTACAGGCAGTCCAGAACCCTACCAGATTCAACAACCACAACCATAGTTGATACTAAACGGTAAGAATGAGCACACTGTTTATGTTATAATTAATTCTGAAACATACTGTAGAAGTGAGTTTTTTTCTGTGCTGCAGTACAGTTCCTTTCAAGCCATTTAGCTCACTACAGCAGTGCTTCCCAAACTTATTCTGCCGCTTGTGCGGGAAAAGCACCTGGTGGGCCGGGCCGGTTTGTTTACCTGCCATGTCCGCAGGTTCGGCCGATCGTGGCTCCCATTGGCTGCGGTTCGCTGCTCCAGGCCAATGGGAGCTGCTGGAAGCGGCGGCCAGTACGTCCCTCGGGCCGCGCCGCTTCCAGCAGCTCCCATTGGCCTGGAGCAGCGAACCGCGGCCACTGGGAGCCGCGATCGGCCAAACCTGTGGACGCGAGTAAACAAACTGGCCTGCACAAGCGGTGGAACAAGTTTGGGGACCACTGCACTACAGAATAGCAACTCTGTGATAATCCTGAGTATTCTCTGGAGGTCTTTTGCCAATGGATAAACTTCCAAATGGATCAGTAGATGCAATACTTCTGCTTCCTTTTGCTTTTGATTTCAAAAGCAATTTGTATCCTGGCATTTTCCTGAACACTTGTGCTCTTTTTCTTTTTCCCCCTTTCATTTTCTTTACTATGTGTGTATCCATAGAGTTGCTGTAGCTGTGTTGATCTCAAGATATGAAAGAGACAGGGAGTTCTGCGGAGCTCAAAAACTTCTTTCACTAACAGAAGTTGATTCAATAAAAGATATTACCTCACCCACCATATCCCTGTTCATAGAGTCAGCAGTTGCAGGAAGTTAGAATTCAGCATGGATGCGATTAACGTAGCTTCAGTAACTGTCTATATGCATAAGACTTTTAGGGCTCTTCTGGAAATTACATTACAGCCAATTTCATACCCTTCTATAAAAAACTGTTTTCTTGCTGTAGTGTAGGGTATGTATCTAAGATTTATGACTAACTCATACCCTGGCTAGTGTAACTGTGGGGAGAGCAGAAATGGAATCTGGGGTGTTGTCTGCTATAGTTATCCTGGCAGGGCAGGATTCCATCAGAGGGCTGCAGCTCCATGATGTGGGGTGCATTTTGCTGCTCCTGTGAGTGGAAGCAACCTGCATCCCGTCATCTGCCATCTAGTGCTTGCTGTTGAGAGAGGACACGCACCAGCCAACATAGGGGGAAGAGTCCTGTTCTCTACGCAGCAGATTAAGTCCTCTTGGGGATTTGATGCATAGACATGAGCATTAGCTGTTTTGATCTCACAGCAGTCCACATCTGTGTGCAATGTATTAATCATGCCCTACTATTTGCTTTGTGGGAGGAAAGGCTCCCCACTTTTCCCTCCTTTTACAGTGGAGATGGCATGATTGTGCCCATAGAAAGTTGCAAACAAGAAAGCAAAAAACAACAATAACAACTACAAAACCCAACAACCAAATACACAAACATACACTGCATAAACCATTGCCCTCCCCCCCGCCCAACAAACAGCTTATGGCATTTTATAAGGAAATTTCTATCTTTGTCTATATGGGTTTTTATGCTGATTTAATCTTCTGCCACTGTCATTTTCATATAATCTAGCCCACTATATAATTTTAGATGACTGCAGCTATGCCTACTGGCAAAAAGAGGAGTTGAACTATGACACTTCTTATTACTCCAACTCTTTTTTTGTTTGTTTTACCATAACATATTTTAATTTTTAAAGATGGTGAGAGGTATTTCTACTGTATACACATAGCATATAATATTTCTTTTATGGTTTTATCCAACCTGCTATACAAGGACTGTTTTGAGTCAAATGAAGATGTAAGCATTGCAATTATTTTAACCTTCTTAGTTCGCTATCGTCTATCTGTTTAACCAAGATTCAAAATCACTGCTCAATAGAAGTACGGCACCTGATGCCGAAGTTTAGTTTCTGTTACATCATTGCTTGCTGCCCCCATTCTCATCAAAATGATGGATTTTTTTTTAGAAATGCTGATCATAATGCATTTATTTTGGATTAATTTCAATATCTCACTACTGTCATGGCAATTGTAGAAGTATCCCAAGTAAGAGAACTGCAGAATGACTGGTAATGTCTTCCCAGCAGACAACCACCAAGTATTGAGCAAGGGAGGAGTAGAGAGTTTTACCTGTTTTTAGGGTTCCTTCCCACTCTGAATTTTGGGGTACAGATGTGGGGACCCATATGAAAGACCCCTTAAGCTTATTTCTACCATCTTAGTTTAAAAACTTCCCCAAAACAAATTCTTTCCTTGTCCTTGGACGGCATTGCTGTCACCACCAAGTGATTTAGACAAAGATTTCGGTAAAGGACCACTTGGAGTTCCTATTTCCCCAAAATATCACCCCAAACCCCTTCACCCCCTTTCCTGGGGAGGCTTGAGAATAATAGACCAACGAATAGGTTAACAAAGTGAGCACAGACCAGACTCTTGGGTTTTTAGGACACTAAAAACCAATCAGGTTTTTAAAAGAAGAACTTTATTATAAAGAAAAAAGTAAAAGAAGCACCTCTGTAAAATTAGGATGGAAGGTAATTTTACAGGGTAATAAAAAGATTTAAAACACAGAAGATTTCCCTCTAGGCTTAACTTTAAAGTTACAAAAACAGGAATAAACCTCCCTTTTAGCATAGGGAAAATTTACAAGCTAAAACAAAAGATAATCTAACGCATTTTTTTGCTATTACTTACAAGTTTTGTAATTTTAACTGTATCATTTCAGTAGGAGCTGGGTTACCTGCTTGGTCTTTCTCTTTGTCCTGAGAGGGAACAACAAAGAGAGCACAAATAAAACCTTCCCCTGCAACCCCCAGATTTGAAAGTATCTTTTTTCCTTATTGGTTCTTTTGGTAAGGTGCCAACCAGGTTATTTGAGCTTTTTAACCCCTTACAGGTAAAGGAGGGATTTTATGCTACCCATAGCTGTATGTTTATAACAACCTGTTTTGGACAAAATTGATATGATTCTATTCCTTGGCCTCCTTTCTTCTTTCCACCTTATTCTGGCCTTCCCACTGCTAGTATATTCCCCTGCCTTCATTACTTCTCTTCTCCCACAGTGCATACCCCATACACACACAACTGCCCCGCAAGGCAGGCATTGTCCTCATGAGACTTTCATGACACAATTCATTCCTGGAGCACCTCTGATTATGGTGACCATATGTCCTGTTTTGGCCGGGACTGTCCCTTTATTAAGATCTGTCCTGGCTGTCCTAACTTTTTTGGCAAAAGTGGGCATTTGTCCCATTTGCTTTTGCCAATTGATCATCAGTTGGCAAGAACAAACAGGACAAATGCCCACTTTTGCCAAAAAAAAGTGGGGCACGCGTCCTTAGGTGGGTGCAGAGGAACATGCAGGTGCGGGGGAGTGGCAATGCCAGCTCTTGGGGCCGGGGGGGAGGAGAAAGGGCTCCGGCAATCTGTGGGGAGACAGGGTTTTGGCGAGCAGCAACACCAGCCAAGCAGGGGGACAGGCCAGGCTTAGGCAATGCCAGACCCACACAGGGTGTGGGGGGCAGCAGGGCTCGGATGATGAGTGACACCAGCCCCACATGGGGAGCAGGCTGGGCTCGGATGAGGGCTTGCATGGGGAGCGAGGGGGGCAGGGCTGGGGCTAGCCCCATGTATGGCGGGAGGAGGGAAAGGGCCAGTTCCACATGTAGGGGGGGGGGGGGGGGCAGGGTTCAGGTGAGTGGCTCAGGCCAGCCCCACGCGGCGTTCTGATTTCCCTTTGGGAAATATGGTCACCCTACCTCTGATTGGTGATGGCCAGTACTTGGCCATCAAAGATGGGAGTGAAGTGATCAGTTGTTCATATTTGTAAAGCGCTTTGAAGATGGACATGCTATTTTTCAGTGCTCAGTATTATTATAGCTAATAATAGCCACCAATCAAAGGAGAGCTTCCCACTTTGCTTGAAGCATGAAGGCCATGAAGTGGCGTGTTGAGCAGAGTTGCAATAAGATTAAAATCAGAAGCAAACAGAGAGATGTGGAAACTACATAAGCAGGACTACCATAACATGGCCAAGAGTGGTGAGTCAGAGCACCAGTAGCTTAATTCTAGGAAAAAGACCCTGTCTGTCTATCCCATGTTTATTACTATGGTTTCTTGGAAGGCAGTCAGATAATAAGCAGGTGGCCCATTGCTGTGGTAGCAAAGGGTAATTTGCTAGACATCAGATTTTTAAAATTAAAATTTGTATTATTGCTATTAAGAGTAAGCTAGAGCGTAGAGATGAATCATTCCTTTGGATCTGAAAGCAGTGAGATACAAGGTTGTCCTGATATCTTCAGGAAGGGAGTTACCCAAACATGGTCTGACTTCAAAGAAAGCTGTCACTAGTTTTCAGGTAGTCTTATGAGCCAAAGAACTGCTCTGAATTTTTCTGAACTCACTATGTCCAAGCATGACATGAATTTCTATGATGTCCCATTTCAATTCCATGTTAGTTAAGCACTAATTACAGGACACTTAAAAGAAACGTGCAATCCATGTTAAGTATCTTATCAGTTCCACTATAATTGAGCTTTTGGCTGTCAATTGAGTGCTGAAATCAAAGATGCATTGATCTGAGTATGTACTTTGGAGAATAGTTAATTGAGGCATGATTGTCTAAAGTAAAAACAATATGTAAAAATATGATAGAAATGTCTTAGTATTTTATTTTCAATATATCTATATTGATTTATGCTTTATTCATACACTAAGAAAACATTGTCTTATAAGGAAGGAAAAGTAAGATGGACGGTTAGATTTTTAAATACTTGTGAGGTGCTCCAATACTAGTGTTTGCTACTTCACATCTGAAGCGCTTATGGTTCTCTTTCTACAGAATTGCTTCTTCAGAAAATTCAGAAGGGCCAAAGATGTAAGTTTGTGGTATTTTAAATATTACGCTTGTAAAGCTCTTAAGCTTGGAAATACAGCACAGTTCTGTGCGTATTGTTGTGTACTTGCTTATAACAGAATGAATAGATAATTTATCTGAGATTTTCCTGATCACACAGGAGCAAGCAAAGAGGACATACCACCCAGTATAAATCTCCTTATCCTTCAAATAGTTTGAGCATTTCAGTGTACAGAGCTCAGCATTTAAAAAACGAACAACCCCTCTCCCCCACACCCCCCAAACTGTTCCCTGATTTTAATTCCACAGTTGTCGTTATTACCACAACTAATGTCCCTCAATGTTGAACTGACTCTTTGGAGGCAATCAATAAATGGAAGAAGAGTAAATGAGGGAAAGAGCAAAATAATAGGAGGGGAAATGGTAAATGAAGGTATTATTTAAGGTAAAGACTTAACTTAAGCTAAATCCATATAAGGCCCTCTGACCAATTTAAGAGCGCCCACACAGAGGACCTGTGCCAGTTTAACTAAATCAGTTTCTAAACCTATTAGTTAAATAAGTAAAATATTCACACATAGAGAACACTTAACTGACCTGTAATTTCATGGATTGGGTCTATCTACTATAGCAGTTCTCAAACTTTGTTATAGTATAGATTCCATTTTAATAGACAGATTGTCTCTTTGACCACACACTCCTATTCCCAATCCGATAGCCCACCTTCCCTCCCATTTATGATCTTATAACATCCCTGTAGAGACAACCCCACTTATTAACAATAATATTAATTATTATTATTAATAATTAATATTATGCATGATTTAAGGTATTTTAGCTGTCTTTTAATGTGATTTAGCCCTTAGATCTATATACAGCCTGCTCTCTTTGGACTAATTACAAAAGTTGCACACAGCAGTTTGAGAGTCACTGGTCTCAGATCTTTTTGACATTCACATCACATCTATTCATTGCTGCACAATAAAATGTCTAGTTAGTTCTTGATCCTACTAACACTTTTGCACATGCTTAACTTTACTTCCACAAGTAGCCATGTTGACTCATGGGAAAGTTATTCAAGTGCATAAGTGTTTGCAGTATCAAGGCCTTAGTCTGCTAAAGGTGTTGCAATTATTATTTTGGTGAGAGAGAAAAATAATCTTAAAAGTTAAGAAAAATCAACCAGTATTCTGCTCACATTACTCTTCATATGCAAAAGTTCATATCAGATCTTCAGGGATTTTTTTACTACAAGTATTTTCAAACCTTAAACAAACCACAATTTATTACTAAATCCATAATGTTAAAACAACCAATCCGGAAACACCAGTTTTTCACAAAGCTGAATGGGTCACAGCACTGATGTGCAAAGAAGTGTTGTATGTGTGGGTATATATGTAATTATAAAAAATCTGTGGAAAGTAGTTGTCCTTTCTCAAAAAAACCCTAACTCATTACTATATTATAAACATAAGAGATACAATGATGGGTACTATTATAACTTATGTATATGGAATGAGATTTATATAACTCAGGCATGTTACTCATGGATTAAATATATATTTAACATTGTATTGCAGGACTATCTATTCATCAGAACAAACTACACCTGAGAGATCAAAAACTGCTGTAGACAATCAAACCAGAACAAGGTATTACAAATAGACATAATCAGAATGATTGGTACGGAATGGGATAGAGAAATATACTGTAATAGATTTATTAGACCTCAATATTTGGTGGGTTACATGGGTTCTGTGGATGAGGGGAAGCAGTGTGGACCAAGTTTAGGACTAGAAGCCAGGAACTCCATCAGTGCTAACCTTGGTTCTGACAGTGATTTGCTGCATTATCTTGGAGAAGTCATTACACCTTTTTGTGCTTCAATTTCCACAGCTGTCAAATGGGAGTAGTGGGGTGGGAAGTAAAGACCCCCCCCCCCCCCCAGGCAGCAGCAGATACTAAAGGGTTAATGAAGAGAGCAATCACTCCCCAGGTGCTGCTGAATGGCTAGTTTGTAACAGCTGGGATAAAAATTTGCAACCCAGACAGAGCAGGGTGGCTGCTGGAGAAGTTGGGAGCCACCAGGGAGAAGTTCTACAGCATTAGATGGGGGGAAGCTATCTAGAGAGAGCAACTTCCGGGCAGAAGGATCCAGGAAAAGGTTTACATGGAAAATGACTGAAAAGGCTGTACGTAATAAGCAGACCAGGGTGGCAGCAGGGGACCTAAACAAACAGTCCTTGCCTGCCTAATGCTGAGACCCAGAGGAGAGGTGAGCTTGGGTCCTCCTACAGCCTTCTGGACAGAAGGAGGAGGGGACTGCTGAAGCTCCAGATTCAGGCTGGCAGCCCTATCTTAAGACTATTGGACTTTATATTTGTTCCTGTTTTAACTTTCTTTGTTCCTTCCTGATGAAGAAGAGAGATAGGGATATTGGGTGTCAGGGCTGGTGGTTGGAAGCCCATCACAGGACATTTAGGATCTTGGGGTGAGACCCCTTACTGCCTTGAAAGGGGAGGGACTCAAATGACCCAGCCACAGGGTGGAGCTATTAAAAGAGGCTGAGCACTACAGGCCACATTTTGGAGTGGATACCAAAAAGGAAACTGGGGCACGGCTGCCTTTTTTTCAAAGGTTTGGCCACAAGGGAGCACATTAAAGGGCAAGAGGCTGGATGATAGTAGTTTATACCTGCTTAACACAACTCACAGGCAGCATATAGTTAATGTCTGCACAGTGCTATGTGGGTAAAAGAGCCATGTTAGTGTTAGAGAGAAAAATGTAAACACAATTTAATGTGACAAATATTAAAATATGTTTTTAAGAGTTAGTGTATGTGGTACTGTATTTTGAAATACACATAGATAATATTAATCAATTATAAAAGTTGTCAATGAAGATTGTTAAAATGCTGATTATTTAAAATCCAGGCAAATTGGGAGGCTTGTCAGTATGGAAATGGTAAATTTTTTCAATGTATTCAGTAATAACTGTGCACTAACATTGACTCTGTGCCCTTGCCTGTAATATAGTGCCCTGACTATGCAATTCAGCTACATGGTTAAAACTGTGAATTCATTAAAATAAAGATACATTTAGAGATGTACTGAGAATTATAGTAGCTCACAATTTGCTATTTTTAATAGGAAAGGCTACAGATTTTAAGTCAGTTTAAATTAGCTCAATTTAATTGATTTGATTAACAAAGTATAATTTTTGGAGATCTGGAGCCATAGCATATGTTACCTTGTATTCTCCAGTAAATTCTACAGTACATTAGAACAGTACAAAATCAAGGAAAACACACCAAAGATGTCTGGCAGTGTAATTCTCCAGGAAGAAAGCAATGCTTCAGTGAAACATTCCTATCCACAAATCTTGGAGATTTTACAGAATAAAATATACCAGTTCATTAACTAGGGATGTTACAGCCATTCCCCACTATAAAGGCTTCTTAAAGTCTTCCTTAATCCCCATTCTCATTCAGTTCAGATCCATCCTCCCCTAGTGGTTCTCATTAACATATCAAGCTTTATATTCCAGTTCCTCCATTGGAGGAGAGCTGTAGGAACAGTATTTGACTGATCTACTATGTTACTATGGTAACCTTGCTCTGTAGTTATTTGTGTCACTATGTAAACTATAAGTAGCCTGGAAAACAGAGGCTAAATTTATCCCTTTATCCTTGATGTAACCAATCCTACAGTTTCATGAACCTACAAATTCTGCTAAATGTACATATCCAATAGTGCTCAACAGAAACATCATTTTCTGTTAAAAATGCTGCATTAATGCTATAATTTTGGCAAAAAATATTTATTCCACACCAAGGAAAATTAACAGTAAATCTATTGTCTAATAATGATGAAGTTCACCAAAATAATATTAAGGTAATATTTTAGCTTCAGTGTGAAATACTTTACTGTCATGTAATTTTACTCAGAACTGTAACATTTAAATGCATTTTTAAAGATACATATTTACTTGGATTTTGTTTGTTCTCTGGAGAGATGTGAAAGTATTAATGAATTAATCCCCATTTAAAATGACCGGACCATGATACTTAATTCACCTGCCTTGTCTTCTGTAGGGTAAGAGTACAGCATTCTATTCATTCTTATGTGATTCTTAAATATGGATTCTTATTAATATTTATGAGGGCACGATAGCTATCAAATCCTCTTCATTTTGAGAGGGCTGTATTAGCGAGCAAAAACATATAACTGGAACAGACAAGTATGCTATTGGATACTACAGTTTACATTTTATGGCAAATCAGTCCTTGATTTTCTTTGCCATCCACATAGGATCCAAGTTGTGGTAAATCACCCCTTTTGAGGAGAACTGTAACTGACTCACTGTGGAAGCTGTCATTGCTAGCAGGAGCATCATTTGGAGGGAGGTTAGCTGAGATGGCTGTAAGGTGCAACGAATGTTAAGTCCACAGGGCAGTTTATCATGCAAGAGTCTTTGGAGCAGGGGGACTGGAATCTGGAGCTCCCAGGCTACAGAGTCATTCTCTCTCTCTGGTTCAGTGACTGTTTGAAGCAGTTGTTCAAAGTGAAACAGTGTCAACAGGAGAGACTGAGAGAGACACCCATCCTCCTCATTCAGAATATTGCATAGCTCAGTGGTTAGGGCACTCTCCTGAGAGGTGGGAGACCCCTGTTCAAATAATTTCTCCCTGTCAGACAGAGAGGAGAATTGAATCAGAGTCTCCCACATCCCAGATGAGTGCACTAACCACTATGCTAAAAGTTTCTGGTCACTTGGAGCAGAAGGACGATTTTGAATGGGTCCTGATCTAGTAGGTATGCACTGAGGGTACTGAATTGGGCCCCGCATGCAAGATAGGTGCTCCTCCACCTATCTCCCCCCAGTTTGAGTATTGCACTGGGGCTTCGGCATCCAGATCTCTAGAGTGGGGCAGCAGTGCCCATGCTCAGAGGCCACAGTTTAGGAAACTTTTGCAGCAAAAATGTAGGCACCTACAGGGTTAGGCAGCAGCTGAGTGGGGTTTTTGTGGATCACAGTGGTGCCTAAAATTGGGACTTAAGTCCCTTTGTGGATCTGGGCCAAAGTGCCAAACATGACTTTTTGGTATAGTTGGGAATGAGTCTGCCACTGGTCTTCTGTTTATGTTGGCCCCTCTATTTCTTGCAAAGGACATGCAGAGCCCTGGGGCTTCATTAATCTCCCTAAAAAAAGAAAGAGGACTTGTGGCACCTTAGAGACTAACAAATTTATTTGAGCATAAGCTTTTGTGAGCTACAGCTCACTTCATTGGATGCATTCAGTGGAAAATACAGTGGGGAGATTTGTATACACAGAGAACATGAAACAATGGGTGTTACCATACACACTGTAACAAGAGTGATTAGGTAAGGTGAGCTATTACCAGCAGGAAGCCTGAGGGGGGGAGTGGAGGAAGAAAACCTTTTGTAGTGATAATCAAGGTGGGCCATTTCCAGCAGTTGACAAGAATGTCTGAGGAACAGTGGGGATGGGGGGGAGTGGAATAAATGTGGGGAAATAGTTATACTTTGTGTAATGACCCATCCTCTCCCAGTCTCTATTCAAGCCTAAGTTAATTGTATCCAGTTTGCAAATTAATTCGAATTCAGCAGTCTCTCGTTGGAGTCTGTTTTTGAAGTTTTTTTGTTGAAGAATTGTCACTTTTAGGTCTGTAGTTGAGTGACAAAAGAGACTGAAGTGTTCTCCGACTGATTTTTGAATGTTATAATTCTTGACGTCTGATTTGTGTCCATTTATTCTTTTACGTAGAGACTGTCCAGTTTGACCAATGTACATGGCAGAGGGGCATTGCTGGCACATGATGGCATATATCACATTGGTAGGTGTGCAAGTGAACGAGCCTCTGATAGTGTGGCTGATGTAATTAGGCCCTATGATGGTGTTCCCTGAATAGATATGTGGACACAGTTGGCAACGGGCTTTGTTGCAAGGATAGGTTTCTGGGTTAGTGGTTCTGCTGTGTGGTGTGTGGTTGCTGGTGAGTATTTGTTTCAGGTTGGGGGGCTGTCTGTAAGCAAGGACTGGCCTGTCTCCCAAGATCTGTGAGAGTGATGGGTCATCCTTCAGGATAGGTTGTAGTTCCTTGAGGATGCGTTGGAGAGGTTTTAGTTGAGGGCTGAAGGTGATGGCTAGTGGCGTTCTGTTCTTTTCTTTGTTGGGCCTGTCCTGTAGTAGGTAACTTCTGGGTACTCTTCTGGCTTTGTCAATCTGTTTCTTCACTTCCGCAGGTGGGTACTGTAGTTGTAAGAATGCTTGATAGAGATCTTGTAGGTGTTTATCTCTGTCTGAGGGGTTGGAGCAAATGCGGTTGTATCGTAGAGCTTGGCTGTAGACAATGGATCATGTGGTGTGGTCTGGATGAAAGCTGGAGGCATGTAGGTAGGAATAGCGGTCAGTAGGTTTCCGGTATAGGGTGGTGTTTATGTGACCATCGCTTATTAGAACGATAGTGTCCAGGAAGTGGATCTCTTGTGTGCACTGGTCCAGGCTGAGGTTGATGGTGGGATGGAAATTGTTGAAATCATGGTGGAATTCCTCAAGGGCTTCTTTTCCATGGGTCCAGATGATGATGATGTCATCAGTGTAGCGCAAGTAGAGTAGGGGCATTAGGGGA